TAGTAGTTCTAATCTTTTTAAGGCCAGGGCAACGACCCCATGTCCAATCACTAAAATGTTGAAAATTATTCTTCATATTCACATGTCATCAGATTAACAGAATAAGTAATCAGGGGAGATAAATCAGGTATTTTATTTCGGATACTATAGTGTGGCACGAGTGAACATCACGGGGAGTTTATGAATATTTCAACAATTTCACAATCTGTGTGATACACACATACATGTGTTTATCCTGAGCTGAAGACTGACAAAAGTGTGTAGAACAAGAACTGTCACGGTAAGTTGACAATGCCCCCGAAGTGGTGCTATATATGGTCCTTTGATTTATAGACCAGATAGATTATTTGTTTTTTTGATAATTAGATCTTCAATGTGAAGGTTTATTCAAGGTCAAGGTGAAATAAATATAGGTCAGTTTGGAAGGTCTTGTCCAAAGGGGCATTGTGTCCAAATATGAATTAATTCCACTTACTAATAAAGAAGTTATGACCAATGTTAAAGCTTTGGATGTTCTAGAAGGTCATTCAGGGGTCAAGGTAAAAAAAATACAGATCAGTTTGAAGGTCTTGTCTGAAGGGGTGTTGTGTCCAAATATGAGTAGAATTCGTATACTAATAAGGAAATTATGACAAATTTTTAAGTTTTTAGACAATTTAACCTTCAAGGTGAAGGTCATTCAGGGGTCAAGGTCAAAAGAATATAGGTCAGTTGGATGGCCTTGTCCAAAGAGGTGTTGTGCCTAAATATGAATTAAATTGATTTACTAATAAGGACATTATGGACAATCTTAAATGTTTTGGACAATTTGACCTTCAAGGTAAAGGCCATTCAGGGGTCAAGGTAACAAATACAGGTCCGTATGAAGGTCTTGTGCTAAGGGATGTTGCGTTCAAATATGAATCAAATCCGTTTACTAATAAGGAAGTTATGGCCAATGTTAAAGTTTTCGGACGGATTGACGGACTGACGGACGGACATATATATATTTTTTTCTGGAATTGACGTATAATAAATTTCTATAAAGTTTGATAAACAAAAATCGCAATTTAGAATTAAAATCCTGAATCTAATTGTCACGCGCATTAACATGACGTTCACATTTTATGCTTATTTAACTATTAGCATATTCATCATCAGTCAGATTTTGTTCTTTGTGTAGAACAATTTTAAATAGCATTACATATAACTTGGAACTTTGCGTGTAAACCTGATAGTATTGTTACTTAGTTGTGTTACTTATGATTCTCTATTTATCAAAAAGGCCCAAAATAGCCCTGAGTCGCCAATAAAAAACGAGAATGGACGCCATGTGGAGTAAACAAAGTAGAAAATAGTAAACAGATAAATGATTTTACAAACCAACAGCCATCGATCAAAGTCAAATTTCTTGAAACAAAACATTCTAAAAGTCGGACATAGCAATGATTATCAATAATTTTATAAATATTTACATTAACATATATGTAATAGCAACACGACTGGGTCCAAATATGACACTGATGCGTTCATTGAATTATTGATAGCTAACATAAGCTAAGTAAAATTACGAATACATTTGAAGAGTATATTCAATTTTTATTATTCAACTGTCAAATTACTTACTTCTTTATTCACATATCAGATAATTCATTTATTTGGCATATGCATTATGTTTATCATATTTTAGATTTTAATATTTGGTCCTTCTTTAAATCTTAAAATGCAACAAAAATCCTGTTAAGGATATCTGTAGGTCATGCCGCGTGCAATAATCCATACATTTACATCCAATGACCACATCGATAAGAAATAGTCCCAAATAGCCCTATCGTTTTTATTCAGTTGGAAGAGACATTATTGTTAAAAATTCTACTCGATTTAAATGTTTTCAAACCATAAATATTCCGTTCCCTTCCTCTCTTTACAATGTGTATTGGTGAGCTCTCTGATAAAGCTCGATTGACTGATATAATTAACTTAATTTGTCAAATATGTAGTTTATCAACAGAAATAAATGCAATAATAAAATAAATAGTGTTTAGTGTTCTTAAGTGAACGAAGTTATATCCAGTTCGCGAAAAACGGTTACCGTTGGTATGAAAACAGGATGTAAAATATTTTTTATCAACGAGTGACACTGTATTAAAAAGCTGAATCTATTATACTTAAACATTGCTATAGGTTTATAACATTATGGTTATACGTATAAATAACTTTTTACAAAAGAATACCCTTTGACTTTGAAATTGCCGCGTTGAGGCATAAGGCATGGAAATGGAAGTGATCCTGAATGTGCACGTTCATTGGACATTCTAGCTAATTTGGGTTTCTGTTTTCTCTCTATTTGAATGTTTAGTATTGCTACATGACACATATAGATTTTTCATAATCATTACCGTGAAAGAACAATGATTAAAGAGCAAATCAATTTCTTTACAAATACACATGTACAGACAACAATTTTACGACTTTTAAAATCACTTATAGCGCAGCAAGTAAAAATCATTTAAATATTCATTTGTGTTTATGTAAATCGTACAGTAAATAATAAATGTTTTTATGGTTAACATAATTATAGAGAACGAACGGTAGACATGTTGCTTCGCATTTGCAACAGATTCATAAATCTGCTTTAAACTGAAGTCTTTTTTTTTCGACTTGGAACTGGTGCCAGAATTGACAATTAAAGTAAAGGGCAAGATTTACGCCATAAATAATAACCATATAAACATATTAAGGTAGGATTTTGCTGTCTGTATCCCCGGTTGATATAAACCTGACCTATTTATCATGGCGTAGACCAAATAACGCCAGAAAACGAAAGAGCTTGCAACTGAAGCCCGCTCTAATACAAGCAACTTCCAAGGTTATGCAAAGTGTTTGATAAAACGGCTTATAAACTGACGGAGATCCAATATTCTGTGGAAAGCTTATATTTTTCCCCGTAGACTGGTGCATATCCCAAAGATATTGATACATAAATAAAATATTTACGGCTATTTTCTTTTCCGAATCGAGCAATATTTGTCTTGGAAATGATGCCAAAAATGACGTCAATGTCACGTGGTATGGCCACACTGTAATATGTAATATCGGTCGATCTTGCGGTCGAAATACTTAACTATCATTTTTGCGACGGACGCGCCCTCAGGCGCGTTCAGAGCTAAGTCATCTACACATGGGATTTCGTTGGCTACAATCGCGCAATGTGTCCTAAACCAATTAACAGCCCAAGAAATAGTACATGAATTTGATCCTTCAAAACTCCCATTACTTTGACTGGATATCTTAATGTCTTCCAATTTAGCCTTTTCAATTTCAAATTAAGTTATCCAAGTTAAAATATGAACGTATATTATTGATAAAAACGTTGTAGTCCCGTAGTATTATTGCGCAATATGCAAATTACTGCTGAAACGATTTACCGCTGTCGAAAAAGTAGGACAGCAAATTATACTACAATAAAGGTGTAACCTCTGAGTTCCAAGACATTATTAGTAGGAAATAAATATTTCTACATTATATACAAACATTATTATTAACAAATCAAAAGTTTTTCGTGACTCTAGGATAACTCGCGCATTAATAAAGAAGAACTATTTTCGTGACTCATACCGCGGGTTTAGCTGAATATTCAGCAGTTATTAATATATTAGATACATTACAATGGTTAGTAATAAATATCTATTTTTGAAAATGCATGTAAGATTAGAGAGTTTTACAACACTTTACCGCCATGTAGTCTTTCATGGTAAGGAAGTTATAATATCAGTTCTATATTTCCGATTCTTGTGGTTTGTTTACATATTTTTCTAGGTCATGATATGAGTTAGCCTTCGCTATTCATAAAATAGATTCTGCTTCACCTGTTCTGATTTTTGGACATGCGATAAGGAAGTACACATTATACATGTAATTAATAAACCAGCGGATTACATGCAATACTTTTAGAAATTCTATACAATTGTAAGAAGCAAACAAGTTGAAAATGGAAATTAGTGTGAAATTGAAAAGGACAACTAAACACTGTAGTGCTTAAGTGACATTTAAATTAAAATAAAAACGATGTGCTCTGGCCTACATCTTTACCTTGTAAATAAAAAAAATCTAAGAAACACACTTTTAATTGCTGATGATTTTAACCAAATTTTTTTTAATGAGACATATCCAAGAGAAATGAAAAATACAAATGACTTATATTTTTTGTCTATAATGCCCACTATGATATAACACGAATCAATTCTAAATAGAATTCTCAAATGTATAATGTATTATGTTTGAAGTTTATTTGCCTGTATTTATTCTAAAAAATATTTCGTTGACAGTTTTTTTTCTATTTACATATCATTTCTTAGAATAAATCGATAAGGATACTGATTTACAAGTTTGACCAGAGTTTTTAAGCATAAATTTCATTCTGTATTTAAGTGCTTGAAAGTAGAAAATCTGAATTATATCAGTTTGGGACACAAAATATATTGCTCTACAAATCTCGAACTTGTATGAAACAAATTTTCTCTGTTATATATTTTGTGTTTTGTTTTTGTTTTGTTTTTTTTTCTAAAAGAAGCCTTAATGTCTCTCCGGTTGCATGTCCGTCGCATTCAGTGCTGCAGCACTTTGATTCCATTGGGGAAAATCCCGGGATCGCCTACAGAAAAGCCGGGATCCGGGATCGTATTAAACATATAGTAATCCCGGGAATTGACCACCAGTTCGCGGTGTCGACGATAAATTATCGATTATCTCATGCATTTCGTCAAAGATATGCTTGTGATATGCTTGTTGACAATTTTGATGATGTTTTTTTATTGTTGATGGCTATCCATGCATTTTTGTGGCAACCTTGGCCACAAAGGTATAAAGGCGTCTTTTATATTAAGAGCCCTTTTACATAATTTTCTACTTTTTACGTTTAACTAACTCGGAAATGTCTATAAACTTCTACTACATTTCTTGTAGGGCGATTTTTCCTGTCCTTGCAGGATTGCGCGGCCCGTGCCAGTAACGGAAATGACGGGTTTTATCTCAATTCCAACCGGAAAGCACGATGGGAAATATTTCTGTCGCTGATGTAAACAAATTATAACAGAGCACCGAAAGCTGTGAAAAACTTAACCAAATCAATAGAAGATAGAAACAGATATCATTGTGATGATATTTATTAATCGGATATGACATAGACATAGCAATTTCCAATTTTTATTATTAACCAAAGCATTTATATAACCAACGTGGCAGTAGCAGAACTTGTCTGAGCCAGATTTTGTGTTGCCGGCGAAAATGGGACTATTTGGAAAATTTGCAGAATGGCTTGGTTTTAAGAAGGAAGCAGCAAATGTAATAGTAATAGGTTTGGATAACAGCGGGAAAACTTCTATCCTTAATCATCTGAAAAATGAAGATCAAAAGTCACTTGATATTGTACCAACTGTTGGATTCAATGTGGACAAATTGAAAGTGAATTCACTTAGCATAACAGCATTTGATATGTCTGGCCAAGGGAGATATAGGACTCTATGGGAGCAGTATTATAGGGATTGTCATGGAGTTATATTTGTAGTTGACAGCAGTGATAAACTTCGTATGGTGGTTGCTCGAGATGAACTTGAACAGATGCTATCTCATCCAGATATATGTAAGAGAAGAGTACCAATTCTATTTTTTGCAAACAAAATGGACTTGCGTGATGCAGTTTCTAGTGTGAAAGTGTCATCACTTATGGGTCTGGATTCAATTAAAGACAATCCATGGCAGATATGTACCAGCAATGCACTAAGCGGTGAAGGACTACATGAAGGAATAGACTGGCTTACTGGTCAAATGAAAGACAGTCTAGCCCAAAGGAGGAAATGATCTTAGAACATAACAATAAATGTAAAGAAATTAGTGGCTTTAAATAGAAGAAATTAGCGCTGATCATGACTGATGGGACCAATAGATATTTCTCTGTACCATTCTAACTGAAAATCTCATCTTAGATAATAATAGTGATATACTTAAACTAGGGTCTGAAATTAATATACAGCTGTAGCTATTTTGTACCAATAATTTGATATCATTTCTATATTACTACAGTATATGGTTATGAAAAAATTGTTTCAATGCTTGTTCAGAAATGTGAACAGTAAATATTTTTATCTGTACACTATTGATTTAGATCACAATAACATTAGTCATTTACACACCATCCCCTAAATTTGTGAATGGTTCAGTGCTATACTGTGACATATTCTCCTCCAGTTCAGCAAGACCAAGACTCAAATTTTGGGCTATCAGAATTTCATTCCCTGTTTCTTACTATTGAACCATTGGCCAGTTATTCATTATCATGTCTATCCCCCAAATAAGTGAACAGTTTTTACTGTCACACTTTTAAAGATCATGCAGGTTATGCTTATTTTACTAGTGGTTCATTATGTTGTATTGTCCTGTTGCTATAGTTTGTTTATCCACTTATTATCTTTAATATTGTTTTAATACTTTTGTGTCACTAAAGATTACACAGCGGAACCAAATGCTGCATCTCATGCCAATAAAGTCTTGTGGCCCAGTAATGAACTGGACTTTCTTTACAGAATTACATTTTTGTAATGTCAGTCAGATATTATTGATCCTCATGTCAAGGGTAGACTGCACACATATACTTTCAAATTGTTGATCAATGTTCTACAGCTTTCTTTTGAAAAATCCAATTCTTGAAAGTATTTAAGTTGTTTTTCTCAAAATATTGGCAAAGTATATTTGATTTTGTTATAGTTTTTGATATGTATTAGTAAGTTTATTTTTGGCATAATTTTGCATTGTGTAAAATCTCTTATCAATCAAGGTCAAGTTTAAACCAGTTCATTGTTTATTTGTGATAAACACGTAGTATGTTGTTTAATAATTAAACTCTATGCCATATAATGTAAAAACATTGTTTTTTGTTGTTGTCTTTTTGAAGTAACAGATGGTATTCATTTGTTTTAATTGTTCTGCATGTATCTGATAATGGTGTTTAAACATACTCACTTGGTGGATTATACTTTGCCTATTGAATATTTTATATGGTGTAAAAACACGAGGAATCTTAAAGTAGTTCGAGAGGCAAGCTAGATTACACTCAACAGAAAGATTTTTCTTCTTCAAAAAAAAGCTTACATTTAATTTGTTGCAAAACCTTGAGTCCAGCAAGCTTTTGTTTAACTGACATGCTATTTAAAATAATTTATTTGACCAGTATCACATCATTTATTTGTTTGAGAGATGGATTTACAAAATTTACATGTATGCAGCTATGTTTTTATTCTAAAATTTGTATATTGTTTTATTAATGAAATAGTAATGCAACTTACCATGTTCAAATAACAATGAAAAAAGTAATGCAGCTACTGCTAAACATATCAGAAATTTCATCTCTTGAGACTGAAATCTTTATATACATGTATTGTTGATATATGTAACTGTATGTTGAATAAACACTATTACTGATAATAAATTACTTGTTTTGATTACTACACAGGACAGTGTATTTTTATAATACGACAGTTTGTATATGATTTTTTTTTTTACAGTCACTGTTGAAAGGTGTCTCAATAATTGTGGGTTCACCTGGTTAGAGGAAAAACTAGGAAACATGTACAATTGGACAAATTCTGCAACTTATCTCAGCAGCAATCAATCAAATGATCCCAAGCAGTGTATTTATACCTCCAAAGTGATTATGTCTACCACTGGCTACATTATTCTGTTGTTGTTGTATTTTTAATCCCAATATCATCTAATACCCCAGAAAAAGTTAAGAATTTCGGCATTTAATGTTATGCACTAGTCATCTGTCTGTTAGCAGTTTTCATGTCCAGGCCTACAGTGTATATCTTTTGAACCAGTGTAAGGAAATTGAAACTACTTGGCAGAAACATTAACCATAATGAGACGATGTTCACAGCACAGATTTGACCTTTTTTAGGTCAAGGTAACACATTCTGTGGTCATTTTGCATCAATTTCAAAATTTTGTGTCTGCTCTGTAACTATCTTTCGAACTGATAGAAAGAAATTAAAATTTTATGGAAGAAATATTACTTATGAATGGATGTGCAGAACACAGGTTTGGGCTTCCTGAGATCAAAATTGGCCCCACCACATTTACATGATTTATATAGACTTGTATAGGAAAACACATTAGTGTCTTTGTGTGAAACTACAATTTAAAGAGCTTAGATATTTAGTATTGTCTTACTGACCTTTACAAACTGATATAAAATATATTCCTTGGTTCAATATTGGCAACCCAGGGGTCACTTGATTTATTTAGACTTATTAAGGAAATAATCATGCCCCTTGTCAATATTTACTCTGCCTCTGGGGTCACTTGATTTGGTTTATACAGAATTATTTTAGTTCGATTGTGTAGGAAGCTATAAGCTTATAGACATACTTTCGAACCAACCAGTACTGAGCAGTGAGTGTAGTTCCTTGCTCAAGGAAACACAACTTACCTCTGACAGGGTTTGAACCCATGCGGTTAGACATCATTAGATTACTAGTCTGATGGTTTAACTACTCGGCCATGCCACCTCTTTATATAAACTAATGTATTAAACTACTATGCTCAGAGCTTATATTAATCATGACCCTCAGGTCAAAATTGGCCCCGCCCTGGGAGACACTTGCTTTATGTAGACTAAGGTATAAGAAACCATATTTTTGTGGATAAATACTATGCCTTTATATTTGGCACATAGTATTACCTTGTAGATCTCTATTATGAATCATGCGCTAATGAAACAAGAGGGCCATGATGGCCCTGAGGTCGCTCATCTGTATATAGCCCCCCCCCCCCCCAGGGCCAATTTTTACCCAAGGGCTTTTATTTGTTTATTTGAACAGACTTGGTAGACACCCATAAGAAGATGTTTCATGCTAAACATCTAAGTTCTAGCTCATTGGGTTTTTTAAAAGAAGATTTTTTAAGTTTTTACTATACACATATAGTTAAAAACAATGACACCCCTGGGGCAGGGCCAGTTTTTACCCCCGTGCTTTTATTTGAACAAACTTTGTAGATATTTACTAAAAGATGTTTCATGCTTAATATCTTAACTCTAGCTATATGGGTTTTTTCAAAGAAGATTTTTAAGTTTTTGCTATACACAAAAAAGGAAAATCAATGACCCCCGGGGCAGGGCCAATTTTGACCCCAGGGCTTTTATTTGAACAAACTTTGTAGACACTGATTAGAAGATGTTTCATGCTTAATATCTAAACTCTAGCTATATGGGTTTTTTCAAAGAAGATTTTTAAGTTTTTGCCATACACATATAAGGAAAATCAATGACCCCCGAGACGGGGCCAATTTTGACCCCAGGGCTTTTATTTGAACAAATTTGGTAGACACCCATTAGAACATGTTTCATGCTAAATATCTTAGCTCTAGCTCTTTGGGTTCTTTAAAAGAAGATTTTTTAAGCTTTTACTATTTGCATATAGGGAAAATCAATGACCCCCTGGGGCGGGGCCAATTTTGACCCAAGGGCTTTTATTTGAACAAACTTGGTAGACACTCACTAGAAGATGTTTAATGCCAAATATCTAAGCTCTAGCTCTTTGGGTTCTTTAAAAGAAGATTTTTTTTTAAGTTTTTACTATATGCATATAGGGAAAATCTATGACCCCCTGGGGCGGGGCCAATTTTGACCCCAGGGCTTTTATTTGAACAAACTTGGTAGACACTCACTAGAAGATGTTTAATGCCAAATATCTTAGCTCTAACTCTTTGGGTTCTTTTAAAGAAGATTTTTTAAGTTTTTACTATATGCATATAGGGAAAATCAATGACCCCCTGGGGCGGGGCCAATTTTGACCCCAGGGCTTTTATTTGAACAAACTTGGTAGACACTCACTAGAAGATGTTTCATGCCAAATATCTAAGCTCTAGCTCTTAGGGTTGTTTAAAAGAAGATATTTAAAGATTTTTCTTTCGGTTGCCATGGCAACCAGAGTTCTGCATGGAATTAAATTCTTTGAACAATTTTTAAAGGTGACCACCAAAGGAACATTCCTGTGAAGTTTGGATGAAATTAGCTCAGTGGTTTATGAGGAGATGTCATTTAAAGCAAAAGTTTATGGACGGATGGACGCCTGACGAAAAGCGATCACAAAAGCTCACCCTGTCACTTTGTGACAGGTGAGCTAAAAATGCCTCCACATTATAAGTTATGTAGTAGCATAAGGATAATTAAGATAAACATTTTTCAGAAAAGTTTCTTGATTTGGTCTCAACCCTTATTGAAAGATTATTTTTGATTCTCAAACAAATTTACATTTGGGAGAATATTGCCATGCCTTAGTGGAGCTCTTGTATACATTCCTGTTGTAAAGTATCATCTCCCAACATAAAAACTTGAAATTTAATATATCACATAAGTCTTAATACCAATTTATTTTGCTTATTCAATGGTTATTAAAGAATGCTGAAATATTACAGTGAGAATGAAGTGTACATATCAAGGCAATGTTTAACTCTGTGTGTACATACAGATCAAAGCACAACCAGAAAGATACAATTTCAACATTTATTACTGCATGATTTTCACATTAAAAAATGTACATGTACAAAAGATTTTGCATAACTTTGAATATTTCTAAAATACGCTTTGATATCTACTGAAATAGCACGGAAACAAATCAACTTTTATCCTCAACAACTATTCACTCATGTCAATCACTGAGAACATACTTACATCACTGGTTTCTTACACTTCAGGGCTACAGGCTATAAAGCTATATCTCGTGTAAAACTTTGTATTAAACTTTTATAAACAGATTATATATTGGTTCCATATTCTCCAGAAATTTGTAACACAGAATGTTTCTATTTAACACATGAATATTGTATGTGTTTGGGAATCAAACATTATACTTTATAAAGTAGCAACAATTTCGTGCACCAGTCATTTTCTCTTATGGAAAAATACAAACATATTTCTTTCATACACTGTAAGTATTTTCGAAGTACTGTTTTTAAAAAGTCATATAACAATTTTTGCAGCAGATGTATAGCTTTATACACTTAACCACTAAACCAGGTTAAAATACTAAAATGAACAAGCAGTATTAATGTAATATGCAGGAAAAAAAACCACCCTACTTCTAGTAAATATATGTTGTCCTACATTTATCATACAGATCTGGTGCTGAGTGTATT